TCATGTCTGCAGTTAGAGCATCGACTTGTTGAGTGGAAGAGGCTATTACATGGCTTACTTTATCAGTTACAAAAAAAGAAAAAATACTTTTTGATCTTGACAATCAAGTTTGTATCGTTTTATCAACTCCATATCATCATATAACTCCAATATGTCATATCTTCTCTGGAAAGTGTTTGTCGTCTCCTCTGTGCTGCCATCTTATTACTCCTAACTAGATTAGGAGACCTCTCCAGCGCTCTTAAATCATTTAGGAGCTGGGACCTCTTTTAACACCTTTATGAATCACTCTTATTCTTAAGTCTAGGAATAAGAGTAAAATTACGTCATTCTTAGAATTTGGACACACTTAGGACTAAACGTTTACTCTGAGCGGCTTTATACATACAGCCCCAGATTATTTTTATTTATTTGTGCACGTTTTCAGCTCATTTGCATTTATGGGTGAACTGTTCCTTTAAATGCGCTGTTTGTTTTGTGTGCAGCGCCACCTGGTGGTTCAAAGTTAACCTACTGGTCAATATCAGCAGCACGAGACTAGAAATACCCATTGAGCAGAATGCAACTCTTACTGTTACTGAATTAAAAACAATAAGTGCTACTATTATTATTATTATTATTACTTTGAACAAATCATGTTTTTTATGGTTTGGGCAACTGCTGCAGATTATTGCAGTTTGTTTGCATGCAGTCTGATGTGATAAAGCCCGTGTTTATGTATTTATTATTTTATAAATGCATGGCGTTTGTATTATTTATTAAGTTTGACTCCAAGCGCACTGGGATTATTGCTGTATCAGTGCATCTCTGGCCAAACTAACGAGGCAGGCGTGCAGGAGCCACGTCTGTTTCCGCCGGAAGTCCAGAGTCACTTCCTGTAGAGGGTCTGTGCTGAGCGCTGGTGTGGTCAGATCCCCCAGACTGGTGTTTTTCTCTCTGGCATGCTGTGTTCTGGACACTGACTGCTGTCCGGTGAGTGTGTGTCTGTGTCTCTCGCGCCTCGGCTCGTCTCAGGATGTAAACACAGCTCGAGCGCCTTTCATCTTATGCTCTTTATGCGCTCATACTTTGGTTATTAATGTTTTTCTGGGTTTTATTTGCATTAGTCGCAGCTTTATTCTCATCTGCTGTTTTATAATTGTTGTCATGTTGCTTCAAAGCTGCTTTCTGGTTCATCTGTGTGATAACAGCCCAGACATAATGCAGATTGTCTACAATGTATCAGTTTCATAGGTTTCACACTGCTACTATATTACTGTATACTGGAATTTATTTCCTATATTAAGCATTATGAAATTAATATATTAGAAAATTGAAATAATAGTACAAATAATTATTAATATGATTTATCAATAACAGCCACAGCTGTCTATATTGGTGCACTATCTTTATTATAATTATAAAATAATTAATTAATAGTTTTCTGTTGTGCAATAAACTTTCTGTCACTAAATAAACAAAATAATAGTACAAATAATTATTAATGCTCGCAATAACAGCCACAGCTGTCTATACTCTCACATTGTTGAATTATGATATTGTTTTATATTATTAAATGTTGATATTAAAATATTAAATGGTGCTATATTGTTGAATTATTAAAGTACTTTTATTATGCAAAGTTACTCTAAATATCACCAGTAAAATATAAAAAAATGTTGTTACTAGTAAAATATTATACACTTGAAATCGAATTAGAAAATTGTAAAAATCAAGTTAAAATAAGCAAAAGTTGACATGGAGAACTTTCTAAATTGATGGTGCAATAATTATAATGCATTTCATAGCAGCGTTCATGCGTAAAATAGAGCTGACGCGTCAGAAAAACATTAAAAAACCATAAAAAGTGAATCAAATCAAGAACAATAATATATATCTATATATATATAATACACATAATTGCTGAAATGTGAGCCTGCAGCACAAAAGCAGTGTTAAGTCCAGGGTCACACATCCGCTTTATTTGAATACGCTACCGTTTCAGGCTGTGCTCAGATGTGTCTGGCATGGAGTCTCCAGCGCTGGATGATGATATCTGTATCCTGAAGCACGAGACGGCGTACGTCTCGCCCGAGAGCCCCGTGTCCGCGTGCGCCGGAGACGAGTCGGTGGCGTCTCACTTCGCTCTGGTCACCGCCTACGAGGACATCAAGAAGAGACTCCGAGACACGGAGAAGGAGAACGGCCTGCTGCGCCGGAGAGTCAAGCAGCTGGAGGACAAGGTCTTACTCTCAAGCTGTGTGAGCAAGTCTAGCACAAACTCACGTCACAGCGCTTCAAACCAGACCGATGTGAAGTGCAGACACTGCTTTTCATGCACCTGCCGAATATAATGCCTTTTGCTTTTTCAGAATAGAGACTCTTTTAGAGCGCTTGATCTGTTTGTGTCAATAGATTTCAATTACAGTACATGTTTTAGCCATCATCTCCTCTTCAGCAGCACGTATACACACACCACACTTTACATTTGTGTTCCTATAGTTTATATCCGGATGGTTTTTACAGAGGGATGTGTTCCTGTATCATTTGCTTGATTATATGCAACATTTTCTTCCCCCCAAAAACTGTGAAAATATAGCCTTTTCATGCACCTGCCGAATATAATGCCTTTTGCTTTTTCAGAATAGAGACTCTTTTAGAGCGCTTGATCTGTTTGTGTCAATAGATTTCAATTACAGTACATGTTTTAGCCATCATCTCCTCTTCAGCAGCACGTATACACACCACACTTTACATTTGTGTTCCTATAGTTTATATCCGGATGGTTTTTACAGAGGGATGTGTTCCTGTATCATTTGCTTGATTATATGCAACATTTTCTTCCCCCCAAAAACTGTGAAAATATAGCGTTTTCTGTCCGTTCTAAGCATTTTTGACAAAAATGAGATATAACATGTCAAAAAAACAAGAATTTTGATCTTTGTGCTAGAAATGTATGCAAATCAGCGCATATTTAATTAAACAGTGACTCATTTGCATATTTAAACCTATCATTTTAGAAAACTTGTAATATAAAAAAATAATATTCGCAATTATCAATGTAATCAATCAGCGGGGTAACTATAACGATTAGTTATTTTTTTTACCCTGTTCACCTGCAGTGCCTTATTAAATAATGAAAAATTATAGTGTTATTAAATTAATGTATATCATTATTATTATTAAAACATTAAATATTATATTATTAACTATTGTTACATTATTAAAATAAAAAAGTGTGTTATTAAATAATTCTTATTGTACTATTATAATTTATGTTACTAGTAAAATATTACATGTATTGTTCTATTATTAAACTATTATTATATTATTCAATTATTAAAGTAAATTATGTATTAAAATGATATTATTAATGTTATGTAATTAACTGTGTGCTGATATGGCGTTAAAACATAAATAAATGTAATTATTAAATGTCACTTGTAAAATATTAAATATTATTTAATTAAATTTGTATTATTTTATTATATAAAATTATTAAATGCCACTAGTAAAATATAAAATAGTATTATAATATTATTTGATTATGATTTTTATCATGTTAAATTATTAAATGTCACTAGTGAAATATTAAATATTATATTGTTGAATTAAATACATTTTTTAATATTAAATTATTAAATCTTACTAGTAAAATATTAAATGTTGCAATTATTTTGTTGAATTATTACATTGTATTATTAAATGTTACTAGTAAACTATTAAATATTACTATATTGTTGAATTTTTAAATTGCTTTTATTATGCAAGTGATATTTATTACTAAATATCACTGATAAAATATTTTATATTATATTGTTGAATTATCACATTATTTTTATATTATTAAATGTTATTAGTAAAATATTATAAAAGGGAAAAATTCTAAAATATTAAGTTAAAATAATTGTGTTAAATAATTTAACACATTTACAATAAAAGTCTGTGCAGCCAGTGATCACAAGGGTTAAAAACAAAGAAATGTGAGCATTTTCATGAATTATTCACTAAAAGCTGTTTGTTCCTGCTGTGACGTGTGTGTGAACTGATCCAGCTCTCAGGCTCTCAGTGATTTTAAGTGTTTCTGCAGCATTTCCGTCCTGAAGCGCCTCCGTCTGAAGGACCGCAGTACATGAACAAAGCCTTCAGCGCGTACCGCGGCATCTACATCGAGAAGGAGGACTTACAGATGGAGCTCAATAAAGTGGTGCTTAGACGGCTCATCCTCCTCGTGTGTGATAGTCAAACCCTCATGAGTGCAGACGAGTAACGTATTTCTGCCTTCTCTTCCAGAAAAAGGAGAAGCTGGATTTAGAGAGGCTTCTGAAGGAGCAGCTGCAGGCCAAAGAACTGGAGCTGCTGCAGCTCAGATCGGAGATGGACACGAGCCAAGGTGACGTTCAGTGTTTCATCACGCTTTCAGGAGTCACTACCACACACTCACTAGTGCTTCTGAAGAACTGGGACAGAGCTGTGCTCATGCTGGGCAAACAGGAATGATGTAGCTACAAATGCTTTCAGTATTATTCATTTATTATATGTGTCCCTGCAGCACAAAAGCAGTGTTGAGTCGCTGGGGGATATTTGTAGCAATAGCCAACAATACATTGTATGGGTCACAATTATACATTTCTCTTTTATGCCAAAAATCATTAGGATATTAAGATCATGTTCCATGAAGATATTTTGTAAATGTCCTACCGTAAATATATCAAAACTTAATGTTTGATTAGTAATATGCATTGCTAAGAACTTCATTTGAACAACTTTAAAGATGATTTTCTCAATATGTAGATTTTTTTGCACCCTCAGATTCCAGATTTTCAAATATTGTCCGATCCTAACAAACCACACATCAATGGAAAGATTATTTATCCAGCTTTCAGATGATGCATACATCTCAGTTTCACAAAATTGACCCTCATGACTGGTTTTGTGCTCCGGGGTCACAAATAATACATTATATTTGTAAAATATTAAATGTTATGATATTGTTGAATTATGACATTATTTTTATATGATTAAATGTTACTAGTAAATATTATATTATTATATAATATTATTCTACTTAAATCAGTAAAAATGTATTCTGCACTGTCTCTTATTAAAAATAAATATATTGAATTGAGTACTATTAAAATATAAAATAATATAAAAATGTTATAGGATAAAATATTATTATATTGTTGAATTATTAAATTATTATACTGTTAAATTATTAAAAGTTACTAGTAAATTCTCATATTATGTTGTTAAATTAATTATTTCTGTATTATTAAAAACATTTACTAGTAAAGTATTAAATATGATTAGTAAAATACAGTAAAAATCGAATTAAAATAAGTAGTTTTTTGCACTGTTTTTAAGTAAATTCATTGTAAAATATTTTATTAAATATTATAATATTAAATTAATAACATTCTTACATTGTTAAAATATTATATTATTATTCTTATTTAATGTTAAATAGTAATATATTACATATTATTACTAGCATACAGTAAAAACCTAGTTTAAGTCATGTTTTCCGCACTGTTTCTCAGTAAATTAACACAAGAATATTTAATCATTTTCATTGTAGCATACAAATAATATTAATCCAAATATATTTTTACTAAAACAAGTTCAAATCAAATATGAGTTGTGATGATGTGATGTGAACAAATTATTAATATATAGTATATCATGAATATTCAGTATGGCCCGTTGCGTTGAATATTGTAGTTCAACAGTTGTTGTTCTCCTGTCAGTGATGAAGAGTCTGACGGATACGGCAGATTACTGGCAGGTGGACAAACACAGCAGTGAAATGCAGATCCACTCGCTGCAGGAGCAGCTGGACCGCTTACAGATAGAGAATGATGCGCTGCACAAGCTCTGCAGGGCCGGACAGGTGCGTCACAACCTCTGCGCTAGACTTGTGTTACACACGTGCTACATCCTCGCTACACCCCCGCTACATCTGCATTACACCTGCACTATACCTGCCCTACACCTGCGCTACACCTGCGCTACACCCCCGCTACACCCCCGCTACATCTGCATTACACCTGCACTATACCTGCCCAACACCTGCGCTACATCTGCACTAGTCCTGCGCTACACCCCCGCTACATCTGCATTACACCTGCACTATACCTGCCCAACACCTGCGCTACATCTGCACTACTCCTGCGCTACACCCCCGCTACATCTGCACTATACCTGTCCTACACCTGCACTACACCCCCGCTACATCTGTCCTACACCTGCGCTACACCTGCACTATATCTGCCCAACACCTGCGCTACATCTACTCTACACCCCTGCTACATCTGCACTATACCTGCCCTACACCTGTGCTACACCCTCGCTACATCTGCGCTACACCTGCGCTACATCTGCTCTACACCTGCGCTACCCCCCCGCTACATCTGCGCTACACCTGCGCTACATCTGCTCTACACCTGCGCTACCCCCCCGCTACATCTGCGCTACACCTGCGCTACATCTGCTCTACACCTGCGCTACCCCCCCGCTACATCTGCGCTACACCTGCGCTACATCTGCTCTACACCTGCGCTACCCCCCCGCTACATCTGCGCTACACCTGCGCTACATCTGCTCTACACCTGCGCTACCCCCCCGCTACATCTGCGCTACACCTGCGCTACATCTGCTCTACACCTGCGCTACCCCCCCGCTACATCTGCGCTACACCTGCGCTACATCTGCTCTACACCTGCGCTACCCCCCCGCTACATCTGCGCTACACCTGCGCTACATCTGCACTACATCTGCCCTACACCTGTGCTACACCCTCGCTACATCTGCACTACACCTGCGCTACATCTGCTCTACACCTGCGCTACACCCCCGCTACATCTGCGCTACACCTGCGCTACATCTGCACTACACCTGCGCTACATCTGCTCTACACCCCTGCTACATCTGCACTATACCTGCACTACACCCCCCGCTACACCTGCATTACACCTGTGCTACACGTGCTCTACACCTGTGCTACATCTGCACTTTATCAGCCCTACACCTGCGTTACACCCCCGTTACATCTGCCCTACACCCTCGCTACATCTGTGCTATATGTGCACTACACCCACACCAAACCCCCGCTACACCTGCGCTACAACCGCACTACACCCACGCTACATCTGCCCTACACATGCACAACATCTGCGCTACACCCACACCACAACCCCGCTACACCTGCGCTACAACCACACTACAGTACACCCGCCCTACACCTGCATTATATCTGCACGACACCTGTTACACCCGTGCTATACCTGTGCTGCACCCGTAGTACACTTGCGCTACACCTGCGCAACGTCTGTGCTTCATCTCTGTTACACCTGTGCTGCTCGTGGCTGATCAAACTTTCAGAGCAGGTTTTTGTCATGCCAACATCAAAGTTTGTTTCATCAACAAGCTGCGTGATTAAAAGTGTTGTTCATGTTTGTAGCTTAAACAGTGCAAGTCACGTCTCATGCTGAATTTAATGTGTAATGCCTTATTTAAATAAAAAGAACAAATTGTACATAAATATGCACACACACACACATATATATATATATATATATATATATAT